GTATTTGTTTAGCCCGATTTCAGTCCGTTTTTTTTTTTTTTTTTTATGCCCCCTTGAGGTGTAAGCCTTTCTTTGATTAGGTGTAGACACACATTGGAAATCTTCCGCTGCCTTTTAAAGGCAATATCTTGGCTTCTGGTTTGTGGTTTATCCTTTAGGCCTCATTCACATGAGAAAAGGCCGGCACATACAGCTCCGTGCTGCGTGCACGGCCGTGCTGCGTGCACGGCCGTGCCGGGCAGCTCCCGGGAAGGACATGTGCTGCGCGTGATTAGTACGCAGCCCCTGTCCTTCTCTATGGGAGTATGCCGCCCTACGCTCACCCGCCCTGCACTGCTCTTGCTCTGTCCCCATATCACCATGTCCCCTGGTCTGCCCCCATCTACCCATATCCCCTTTTCCTCTGTTCTGTCCACTTCTCACCATGTCTGCTGTTCTTCCCCATCTCCCCAGCAATGCAGATTATGACAGGATTTTAGGACAGCTCACATGTACAGTAGAGCACTCTGCACCAAGAAATAAAGTCAGTAGTGTAATGCAGAGGGCAGAGGTGAATAGTAATACAGAGTGCAGAGGTCAGTAATGTAATGCAGAAAGAACATGGGCTTACAGTGCTCCAGGGCAGCAGGATTGTCATATTATGGACAGAGACTGCTGACACTTGTAGTGCCCTCACACACAGGACACCAGGACAGTCATATCATCATTATATAAAAGGCCTGTGTGTCGGCACTAGATGTGTCAGCAGTCCCTGACAATTAAACTTGTCAGTCCTGGATACACACAGCTACACAGCGAAACTTACCGCAGCGGCCAAGACCAGAGGCAGAGGTGAGGAGGACATGCAGCCGAGGAAGGAGGTGCCGGGTTCTTAGGGGGTGGGCGGCTGAATTGCCTCTCCAACCAGAGTGTTTTCTGCCTGTGCGCTGGTGTCCACTCCAGCTGGGGAGGCTAGAAAAAAGAATGTATTTAGCTCATTTAAACTGAGTACCCAGTTACATTTGAAACATTATAATACATCAGTACCAAATGCCATGTTCCTCGCTCGTTCACTTATGACTTTCTTTCTTTTTAGTTTAAGTTCTTTGGTCTTGTTTGCTGATGCTCTATTCTACTCTTTATTGAAGAAGGTTTTATGTGTCACTTGATCCATTGCTTCATTGCTGCTGATGAGCTCCAAGTTTACAGTCATGTTTTTTGGTTTATCCCAGTAAAAAGACAACGAAAAACAAAGCTCATGTGTTCATGATTTACAGTCATGAGATGTCCCGAATAATAATAAAATCATTGCTTGTGATTTCAATCACAGATAATTTAAGGCTGTGTGTAGCCATGAGCCCTCTAACTGTCCTCAGTCATTTTTGTATTGGAAATAAGTGGTAAGAAACAGTCATCTTGTGTTAACGTTATATTGTCCTTTTACTATATATTTTTTTTCTCTTTAACAGCGACAGGTTTACAAGGTTTTGTCAATGGAAAAATGTTGAATTAAACATCCATGTAAGTATACTTAAATCAATATTTGCTACATGTGCTAAACTAGCCTTTATATAGAATTATTTTGTAAATTGGGTTCCCTGCTTAGTAAACAAAATATACTTATCTCTGTCATTCATAAGAAATACAACAGAAATACAACTGATAAGTCTTGCAGGGGACTAGGTGCATGTAAAACAAATTGGGGGCTGCACCGTGCTATAGGTTAAACCCCACCTCTTGCTAGGGAGCTTCATATTTCTTGGTGTCCAAGGAGAAAGAATTCCTCTTCCTTAACTCCTCAGGTCAATGCTTTTTTAGGAAAGCTCTAGGAATTTTGTTACCGATTTTCTTTTCTGGGTTGATAATCTTCAGTCAACAGCTGGATGGATAACAGGCTAGATATCCTAGATCACCAGTCCAGCCATCAAGCCATGCAGGGCTCTGATGACTCCTAATCATGGTCCATTGCAAAAGCACTGCTTACAACATGGCTGTGGCATGCCTTAAGTTCTTCCATTGGTGAATTCAGAAGACTGGTGTTATTTGACTACTTGTCACAGTGCTTCTGCTCAGGGGCCAAGTGCAGTACCCCATGTTTGGATACTACCACTATGCTCTGGAAAAGTGACCTAGGGGCTCACTATATTGCAGGGGGCTGCAGTGAGCTTGTCACCACCACCCTGATTACTGCTGGTCAGGTGGGTTGTTTGCTTTTCTGGTACATCTATTTTGTAAATGAATTTCCATTTCACAGGAACTGTGCTGTGAATTCTCATTTTACCGCAACCATCATGGCATGTTGTGCATTATGAATCCAAACCTGGGTGTGCCAAGTTTGGAAGGTGGCTACTTGGTCCTTCATATGTTTTTTAAGATTGATGTGGCTGCACTAGCGTATGCTAGCATTGAATCAGGTTTGGGCTTCAACCAGTTACGTTATTTGATTACAGTTTTCGTTCAGTTTGGCAGCTGCATCCAGAATGCATCACAATGCTTTTCTATGGGATTTCTGGTGCTCTGTTTACGCCAGTACACTCCATTCCGATGCAGTGAAAAAAATACTGCTTGTCCTATTTTAGCTGCATCCGATCACAACGGAACGCGTCAAAATGCATCAAAAACATATGCAAATGCACTGGAACGCACTGAAAATCCCACTTTAAGCAAAAAAAAGTGTCAATCGCGGTACTATTGTGGCAAATCGCATTGCAGACGCACGCAGTTCTGGTGTGAACTAGCCCTGAGAGATACAGCTCCTGTTTTTTTCCGACCTGTTGTCTTGGAAGTTTGTTTTTTCCTGGTACTGTTTGTGGCTAACTGAGCTCTCTAGCAAGAGGTGGAGGTTAGGCCACAGGGTGGTAAGTCCCCCTACGATGCTTTTAATGCACCTAGCATACTTCTCCTGTAGGCAGCAAAAACCCACACACCAAATAAATCTGGCTGTGTCTTTCAATAAGCTTGGAGAAAATCATTTTCCGGGGAGTAAACAAATTTTATTTGATGTAAAAAGTTTGTAACTTGCACAGTAGTTGGAATTGTAACAATGAATTATAAAATCTTTGCTATATAAACTGTAATATATAAAATGTTCTCCATAAGAATGTCAACTTGCATATGCATGTGGTTGTGTTTCATCATTATCAGGTATTTTTCCTTTCGATGATTAGTTTCTATTTCTGATTTACAGTTGACAATGAATGATTTTAGTGTTCATCGAATCATTGGTCGAGGTGGATTTGGTGAAGTTTATGGGTGTCGGAAGGCAGATACCGGTAAAATGTGAGTACTGAGAATCGAGATCTCTGCATGTCAGTGCACATAACTTCCTGTCTTTACACTGGCTTTTCCAGCCCCTGACCTTCTTGTGCCACTAATATTCGTATTGCTATCTCCAAAGATATTTTACTAAATAAAGCACATTTTTATTCTTTTAAGTGCAATTCTAGGCCACCCACTGTTGGTGGGAACAGTCAATTGATTAAGTTACAGAACTTCTGCCGATTTGCTTCTTTTCTTTTTTTTAACCCCATTGATAAGTTGGTACCACCTCCATGCTCTTCTCCCTCCTCTTTCCATAAAAATTACTTGTGAGTATGTCCAAGTCAAGCTTTTAAGGAATATAGAACTCTCTGCTTTGACGGCAGACAGTTTGTAGCTGTGCTTTTCAACCTCTTTTGAATGTCTGGGGGCAGCTTAGTAGCTGAACTAAAGTCTCCCTAAGATAATTCTACCGCAGTTGGCTGACAATTAACTAGCAAGGGCCAAATGTAAATAGGTGTCACACAAGCTGAAAAACATACTTTTACTTTTTATCCTAAATTCCATGGAGCGTTATGCAATGGCCCAGTGGCGTCACAAGGGGGGGGTGCGGCATGCACCCGGGTGACACCATTGGAGGGGTGACACCAAAATGACTCAGTCATTTTGGTGTCACCCCCCTCTGAAAAGTCGGGCGCTCGGTCATGGACCGAACGCCCGACAGTATCAGGACAGAGGAGGGCACCCGGTGGCATACCTCGTCCCGCCGGGTGACTGTCCCCTCCTCTCTCGGCATCAATCACCAAGATGGGCGCGCGTGCATGCGCAGTGACGTCTCGGCGGGGTGACGGGGTCCCTGTCCACCACTGTCCAGCCTCCCTTTTGAGATAGCCTCTCCCAAAATTCTCACAAAACAAAAATAGTTGGGACACTGTAAAATCTACATAAAAACAGACAGCAATGATTTGCAAATCTCATAAACCTAGATTTCATTCACAATAGAAAATTGAAAACATATCAAATGTTTTAACTAAAAAAAATGCACCATTTAAAAAATAAATAAATTGAAATTGATGGCAGCAACACGTCTCAAAAAAGTTGGGACAGGGCCATGTTTACCAACGTGTAGCATTCCCTCTTTTAACAACACTCTGTAAAGTCTGGGAACTGAGGAGACCAGCTGCTGGAGTTTTGGGAGTGGAGTGTTGTCCCATTCTTGCCTGAAATAGGATTCTAACTGCTCAACAGTCCTGGGTCTTCTTTGTCATATTTTGCACTTCAAGATCCGTCAAATATTTTCATTTGGTGACTGTTCTGGACTGCAGGCAGGCCAGTTAAGCACCCGGACTCTTCTACTACGAAGCCATGCTGCTGTCATAGATGCAGTATGCAGTTTAACATTGTCCTACTGAAATATAGAAGGCCTTCCCTGAAAAAGACGTCACCTTGATAGGAGCATATCCTTCTCTAAAACCTGGATATATCTTTCAGCATTGATGGTGCCTTTCCAGATGTGCAAGCTGCCCATTTCAAACTCAATAATGCACACACAATCTTTATAGCTTTCAAACAGCTCAGCCCACAGTGTAGTACAATGACCACAGCTCGGTGAAATGTCCACAATGTCAGCAAATAAGTGTCTACAGCAAATATAATGGCCACAGCAAATACGTAACATTTCCAAAGCAAGTAAGCATGCCCACAGTAAAGGAAAGTGAACTCTTGCTGCACTTCTGCCGGACCTCTCTCCAGTAGCATCTATCATCCTGAGCCAAGAGAAGGAGGCAGAAGAAAATCACAATTATGTACACTTGCTGTGTCAGCACATCCTTTATGTAGTTCTCTCTTTAGGTAGGCCCCGTGCACAGCAAGGTTTCATCGTTTTTGCTCGGTTTTAGCTATCAGTTAACGTGCGTTTTGCACATTTTTGCGTGTGTGAAACCGCGCGCACATGAAGACGTGCGTTTTGACTGGCAGCTTAAGAGACATTGTGGTCAATGGACAAATGCACATTAAAAAGTGCAAAACCGCGTATAAAAATGTGGAACATGCTTCTGTCGCGCGTTTCCTGGCATTTCCATTTAAGTCTATGAAGGGGAAAACGAGCTGGAAACTGCCAAAAGAAGCTCCTGTACTTTTTTCTGCGTTTGCCGTTTTGCTACTTAGGTGTGTACAGGGGCGTTTAGAAGCTCTTTTTCTACTGCTCAAAAACACCTAGATGTGAATAAGGCCTAAGGGAGCCAGCATGTTTCAAATGCCTCATTATGCAATGGGACATAGCTCCCAAGGCCCAGTCTCTGTGGACAGTAAGGCTACTTGCTGACCTGGCAGAAAACCACAGACAGTGTCAACTCACCACGAAGGCTAAATTGAAATCCAGTGTAATTTATTCCAGACTTGGCGGGTTACAAGGGTGTTTTGTGAGCATCACGGAACAATATGCTTCTGATCTCTTATTGGGGGAGCTCTTTTCTCCATGAGGGCAAAAGGTAACTTGAGGGAATGCAAAAGCAGGGAGTGTCTAACAAGATACCTATTTATTTAACACAAAAAAGAGGGGCAAGAACAATGGAATGTACCAGGGCACAAAAGACCGCAATAAATAACAATAAATGGGCTGCTGGTGGCAGCACAGTGGCTACATTCCAACTTCATAGATGCATGCAGAAGCAGTATACCCATTAATGAACCAGTAGTGCTGATAAACCTGTATTAAAATATTTGTATTCCTCTGACCTGCTACAAATATAGTACATATGTCAAAAACCTTTCTAACATTTAGGTGAGCTACTAAAAGTATTTTTTTAATCTGAAGGTTTATTTACTCTTTTTATTAAGTTAATTGTCATGTGCTATTTTCTGTATACTCCTAGGTACGCAATGAAATGTCTAGATAAGAAGAGGATCAAGATGAAGCAAGGAGAGACCTTAGCCTTAAATGAAAGGATTATGCTATCTCTTGTCAGCACGGGGGTGAGTTTTTTTTTAGCTTTATGGCTCTATGGAACATTGTACATGATCACTTACCTCTGAGTATGCACAGTTAATGCAGACACCAAATGCAGAAACTGCCTTTGAAGTGTCTTTACCGAGGCATTGAACTTTGGATGCACAGTGTCTGCATTAGACAAAGCTTAAAATTGCCTTTCATTGCCATGGTTACCAAGGATGTTGGCAGAATGGTTGTTACTGTGCTTTTGTAAATGTACGCCAAGTTTATTGTTTCGAAATACACTCTCCTTTCAATGTATAATAAATGGAGTTACATATGAAGCACACTCCACTTAAAATAATAAGGTTTGTAATGGCATTAGAGCTTGATTTCTCTAGTCTGCCTAATCCAATATCCATCACTTCACTATCTGACTCCAAATGGTATAGTACTGAGCGGAAGGGTGCTTTCATATTCAGACCATGGCTTATTTTATTTTACATATGAACTGTGCTGTGCAGATGGTTTTTGTACAGTTATAATTGTATGCAGTTGTTACTTAGTGGACCATGAAAACTACAGCAAAACAATTAGCTATTGTCTTTTTGATGGAATGGCGACATGCTCAGTCATGTATGAAATTTCATATATTCTTTCTGGGTTTTTATTTTTATTTGACAATGATAGAATGAGTTTTAGATCTTGGTAAATGGATATTTTCAAAGTCAATTTTTTGCTTTCATGTCCATTGAGTATGTAACCAAGAATTTGGGGTTTAACACAGTTACTGCAATTTGTAATTAGGAAACAAATACCTGGTATATATCTATAAAGGTGGCCATACACGTACGATCTGCCCATCTTGGACAGGCAGATCGTACTTGCGATGACCGCAATGCTGACCTGGTAGTGTGCGCGTGTGCACACCGGCCCGTGCGGCATTGATCTTACGATCATGCTAAAAACCAGCCGAAAATCATACGATTCTCGGCTGGTTTTCTAGCATGCTCCTTAGACAAAAGACGTGCGACCGTACAGTAAAAACGGTTGCACGCCTTCCATACACTTTGCAATTATCGTACGATCGCACAGTGTATGGGCACCTTAAGAGTAGGCAGCTCAGCTTATCTGTAGAATCCAGAGCTAATAGTAAGTGAAGACACCTTGGTCTACCTGTTTTCAGGGAGCTGATTTTTGCCTTCTGAAAGCCAGTTCACTTTGAATTTGGGCCTGTGCTGACAGGCTTTCACCTAATACAAGTCAGTGGAAACTTAAACTCAACTTGAAGAAGCTTAGAAGGTCAAATGCAAGTCAGAAGGAGGTAATTTGCGTGTTAAATGTATCTTTCAGTAAACTCTAAATGATCTCATAAGCTTAAACTGATCTAAGATGCAAGGAAAATGTACCTTAAAGCAAGCGGTATTTGCCCATTAACAAAACCTCTTAAAGCCCATTGCCACCTTTTGGGAAGGTATTTTTTTACAAAAAACACATGCCAGCAATGTACATATACAATGCTGTATAAGAACACAGAAACCTAAATTACAGGCTGCTTCCATGTGGGAACTACAATGTAGGGTATGGAAAACTACATTTCTCGGAATGGTTTGCTTCCCTCGTGCACAAGCTTCTCTGTGGAAACTGAGCTATCTCGATCTCTCTGCTCTATCTTTTCTCTCACCCTCTCTGCTCGCTCTTCTCTCTGCTCAATCTCTCTCTGAGCTCTCTCCCCATTCATTAATGGCAACTTTATAGTGGCAACACCCCCTGGACAGTGTTTTGTGACTTGGAAAGGCAGATTTGGTATCCATTGATCTTGTTACGATGACTTACAGAGAGGAAGTCAGCTGCTTTACAGCCTGTACAAGACAATCCGACCCCAGTGTCAGATTAAGTTTTCTGTGCAGAATTTCTTTTGTGTGAATTTCTAATGTCAGTCATGAAAATGTGCACACATATACATCATTACTGCACCTCTACATTACCACAATGTTAATCACCTACAAAGGTGGAAATGGGCTTTAACGTGTATTATAAAAATATGATAAACCTGCACTTATAGTGACAGTTCTGCAGTTATATATGTTTACTGCAAATGTAAGTAGGTCGTTTTCTTGTAAGTTTGGTGTTGGTTATTGTTCTCTTACCTTTATGGTGAATTCCCTCTAAATCTTTACATTTTAAGCTAGATGTTGAGAAATATGTTCAGTTTTAACATTAGGCCACATTTCTATTCTTTTTATGTTATCTGCACTGTAGAGGAGCATTGTCTTAAATGTGACTGTCAACAATACGCTATCTTTTCTTTGCAGAAGGCAAGAACCAAGGGTACTGTAAGGCTATTAGTAGGGATGCACTGATACCAATACTAGCATCTGTGCCAATGCCAAGTATTTGGGCGAGTACATCAGCATCTCTCTCTGACTGGCAGTGCCAAGGGACCATGGATCTGGCTTCCTTTCCAATCAACAAGCCAGGCGGTGGGTTATGACTCGGCTTCCTGATTGGCTAGGGAGCCGGCTTCACGTGTTGCTAAGCAGTCTGGCTTCCTAACCAATTAGGAAGCCGGGCGGCACGTAATGACCTGCCTCCCGGCTTCCAGATTGGTCAGGAAGCCTGGCTGTCTAGGAACATGTGAACCTGGCTTCCTAGCCAATCGGGAAGCTGGGTGGCGGGTCATGATGTGCCGCCCGGTTTCCTGATTGGTTAGAAAGCCAGCTTTACTTGTTGGTAGGCAACCTGGCTTACTAACCAGTCAGGAAGCCGGGCTGCACGTCATGACTTGCTGGTTAAACCAGATTCCTAGCAAGTCAGGAAGCCGGGGGGCGGGTCATGACATGCCGCCTGGCTTCCTAATTGGTCAGGAAGCTAGGCAGCCTCTGAAGCCGTTGTTCTTTAGCTAGAACACCGGCTTCACAGGCAATCAGGAAGCCGGGTGTGACTTCCTGATAATCGGAGCACAATACACCAATACTCGGTATCGACGAGTAGCGAAAAAAAAATATTGGTGCTCGATACCGAAAAACCGATATTGGTGAATCCCTAGTTATTAGGATTCACCCTTTTCTAGGGTTGTACAGATTCTGATCAATTGTGATTAAAGGTCCTCAATGTGATCAATGCATTCAATATGTTTTCCCTATTAAGAAGCAGTGAGTAAGAAGAACGGGGTTTAGTCTGTCTGCTTTTGTCAGACCTAAATAACAGAGAGAGCAATAGTGCAATGGTAAAGACCCCAGCCATTCAAAACAAATTTTGCCCTCTCCGCCACACAGTAACACCTTTCTAAAGATATTCTGAGTTTTCAAGCTGAATGTTATATGAAATATCCCTTTCACCCTCAAACTCCTGATAGCGCGCCTTCAAAAGCCAAGTCCTCCCCCTTACCCAAGGCAGTTTGATGGGGAAAGGGGTGGATAATGTATTATTTTGTGTGCAAACACTTGTATTAACCCTAATACTTATACCATTAAAGTGTGACCTGTTAGATTCCTATATGTAGAATTCATGTATGAACAATCTTTGGTTTCTTATCATATTGATGTTAGAGTGTGTGTCCATACGTTTTTACACTAACGTGTTGAGTTAAAAGGCATGCCTTGCAGTTAAAGCAGATTCTTTCCTGGAAAGGAGTAAGAGGATAAATGCTACATGTGCTTGTAATTCCTTCACTACAGCAAGAGATTTCTGCCGTTTACTCCCCTTGACTTGTCACAATCTACTTACACCTTTTTCAGAACGGTTTGCTGAGCTCAGCATAACTTCAACATGCATGTTTTACAACACGAATCTGCTTAGCATTGGATGTGATTTGACTTTATGATAGTGTGTTCTACATTCACAAAAATCATTTGTATGAGGATATTTATAGAGACTGGCACTCTGCAAGCCATAGAATGTAGAGTACTTTTGAGTATCCCAAGTTTTTCCGGAATTCAAACATTTTCTATAGAAAGAAAAAATGTTTTGCTTGTAAGTTTTAAACACCCTGTACATAAGAATAATAGAACATATATTTGCCAGTGATTCAATTGCACATACATGACAATAAATATGTATCACACTGACCAAAAAAAGAGAATGTGTCAAGTGTCAACATAAGAACAAAGACAAAGGTGTTTTTCTTTTTCTTGCCTTGATATTCGGTATTGTTAATATACATCTGACAGACGTTCAGCTTATTAAGCAAACACTTTTAAACAGCCATTTGTGACATACAATTGTGTAGTTTCATATTGCTGAGGCTAGAAAGCCTTTCACAGAAATGAAAGATCTAAGCCTGCCATGAATAATTGATGCCGCTGGAAATTATGTTTGACTAGGGGGAAAAAAGCATTTGGTGACAGCTAATTTCAAAACTCGTGTTCATGGAGCCATCATTTACAGGCTGTGGTGAACTGCCTAGTTGACAATGTATAGATGTACTTCTATTATACCTAGTAAATATTAATCTTTGTGTCAGCTTCCTTCATAAAGGAATACTAATAAATGAACTGGGATGCAATTGAGCAGCTTTTCTATGACGACATCTATTAGTTCCTGCGCATATTCTTCCACAAGTAGATGCGAACCCAATCTCTAAAATCTCAAATAAGCTGTAATATGTTATTGTAATCTCAAAAGTTGCTCTAAATCTTCTTGAATATACAGCTTTTATTAAAATAATACCTGGTAGTTTGTTAAGGGGGACAACTGTCTCCCAACTGTGCTCCTGTGCCCAACATGCCCAGGTTAAAAATTGTGTGTGTCCGTGAAACTGCGACAGAATTCAGTACCCCAAAAAGTCCATAGACGACACTTTAAAAGCCCGCCCCAGGTCATCAGTTTAGAGATGCATGTAAATATTGGCCCTAGAATTATTGCTCTCTGGCGTGTGGGGCAATACCCAACATGTGTAGCGCAACCGTCGTTTTCATACGGCGGCACACCCGACGTGTGCTTATGTGATGTCGCACAGGGACTTTAAAAGAATTACATTATTTTTACATTTAATTTAATATTTTTATAACTTTTTTTTTAACTTGAATTGCAATCACATAGG